AAGGTCGGAGGGTAGGGTTGGGAGAGAAGGGGGGCTAGGGCTAGTACTAACGGAAGGAGAAAAGGCAGGCAATGGTTCAGAGACGGGGGGCGAAGGTGCTAAGAAACTCTAGACAAAGACTGTGGACTAAGAAGCAATGAGGGATAGTTCCAGTGAGGGACAACCTAGAAAAACAGGTCGATTCACAAAGAAAAATCGAAAATAACCAAAAAGGCAAAAAATCTTGTAGTAGTTAGGCATTGTTGTTGCTTCTTTAGCTAGGGAGTCAGCTTCCTGGTTTTCGTCCCTCCATGTATGACAACGGATGTATTCTTGCAAAGGTAGTCAATCTCGTTAAACAAGTGTGCCTCGAACCAAGGAGGAGGGGAGGAAGAAAGACTTTGAGCCCAAGAGATTGTATTCTTGGAGCCTCCCACCACGATGAGAGAATGCAGGTGGAGGGGTTGGATGAGTTTAATGCTTTCCAAGAGTGTTAACACTTAAGCCTCCATAGAGTTGGCGTTACCGATATGTTTGGAGACAGTTGCCAGAGTATTACCGAGGTGGTCTCTGAGGATGGCTCCTATGCCTGACGGGCCGGGATTTCCAAGAGAACAGCTGTCGAAATTGAGCTTAAGCTGTCCCAGGGGTGGAGATTTCCATCTAGAGGCTTTCGGCAGATGCGTGCAATGGAATTGAAGAACACTCCTCCAATCTTGGCTAAAAACCGAGATTGGTCGTCCAGAAGATTGTCGTGGACTTGAGCTTGTTAAAAACTTTGGGCCAAGGTGAAAATTCCCCCCGAAAAATTCTGTTGTTGCGCCCGATCCAAAGTGTCCACAGGGTAGCAGCCATCATTGTTTTCCAAAAAAGGATCCCTACCTTATGCCAAGGGAAAGGTCGGATGGAAGAAAGAATGGATATCACCTCTGTCGGTAACACCCATTGCACGTTGAAGAGTTTTAGAATTGCCCCCCAAAGATTTAAGGCAAAGGGGAAGTGGTTATTAGTCTCTTCTGCTGCAAGACACATGACACCAATTAGGAATCAGAATTCCTCTTCTTTGCAATTGATCTACTAGAGTTCTCTCTGGGAGAGAGCCACCACATGAAGATCTTGATTTTAGACGGGGCAAAAGATGCCCAAGCTTGAGCAGTGACAGCGGCAGGAGCTAGAGGGAAGGTTGGGGGAAGTGAGAAGCTGCGGAAGAACGAGGAAACTGAGGGGGTCCCTGTTGGTGACTGAGACCAAATAATACGATCAGGACACGAAGGTGCTAAGAAGCAAGCCTGAAGTTCTGTCGCTAAGGTGGCAAAATTTTCAATTTCTTGGTCGGTTAGAACCCTTCTGAAAACTGGGATCAAAGGGACCTGGCCGAGAGCATTTCATTAGCTACCATTGCCCCTTGATCTCTAGCTAGAGAGAAGAGATAGGGGAATTTGTGCCTTAGAGGGGTGTGACCTAGCCACTGGTTGAGCCAAAAGAAAATGTGATTTCCCAACCTCGGAATGTCCATAGGAATGACCTATAGAACTGCCACTTTCTGGAGCCTCATAGAACTACCTATAGAGCCTTATCCCAACTATTTGATATCAGCTCAAATAGGAATGACCTATAGACCTATAGGAATGACCTATAGAACTGCCTCATTCCGGTCTACCAAATGTCCATCTTCCACATGCTCGTAGTGGTTAGTTTTAGAATCGAACAGTTACTGAGAAGGTTCTTCTGGTCAGGAGATGACTCCAACAACAAATTCCATTTGATTGCTTGGGAAAAAATTTGCCAGACCAGAACAAGGGGAGGTCTAGGAATTAAGAACCTTAGACCCAAAATCTTACCCTCCTAGGTAAATGGTGTTGGCATCTGTCGACCTTAAGTAACCAGGTGTGGTCGGCTCAAACACTTTGATATCATCATCATCATCCGAGCCTTATCCCAACTATTTGATATCGGCAATACGAATCATGTCTGCTATTCCGCTCTATCAAGGGCCATACGCTCAGTCAGATAATAAGTCATTTCTTTTTTCACTATTTCCATCCATGTCTCTTTATTCCTTCCCCTTGCCCTTTTAGAGCCCTTCCACTTGAACCAAATCACCTCTACTAACTGGTACTTTTCTAAGTCGATATTGCACATGACCAGACTACCTAAGTCTACTCTCCATCTCCCTCATTTTATTGATTTTTATTGGAGTTACCCCTAAGTTCCCTCGAATGCATTCATTTCGAATTTTATCCTTCATTGTCTTGCCACTCATCCATCTCAACATCCTCATCTCCGCTACACTCATTCTATGGATAAGTCGTTTCTTGACAACTGAACATTTCGTCCCATAAAGCATGGTTGGTCTTCCCCTTCAATTTCATTGGTATGTAACTATGATATAATACTCCAGAAGCGCTCCTCACATGCTTTGCTTAGCCCCCCCCCTCCCCCATTTTTTGGATTTTTTGTAAGCTTTATGTAAAACTTTACTTAGGGCGGTCTTATAAGCCCTTTTTGTACATGATACATTCTAGTTCATCCCCTAGGGGGTGAACTTGGCCCTCTCTCTCTTGTACACTCCTCTCTCAGTAATACAATGTTAACCTTCATCAAAAAAAATAGTACTCCAAAAGTGTATATCTACTTTGTCCATCCGGTTCTAATTCTATGAGCAACATCTTCCTCAATCTCTCATGTCTTCATGGATTATCGACCCAAAATATTGAAAATAATATCTTTGAGGTACTTCTTGGTCATCAGTCTTAACTGGTTCCTTGTTTCTCTCCTATTATTACTAAATAACATCTTTAGTGTTATTTATCAAATACAATATGGTGGTGATGACTCCGGCTGGCTGTCCAAAGGTTTACATAATGCTAGGTTCCTGCAAGAGCATTCTATCACTCACCTGCCTTTTTCTACCAGGGTCCAAATATTGGCAAAAACCGGGAATCACATTCGACTTTGGAAAGACTGGTGGCATGGAGAGAGGCTTTTGGAGGTTCAATTTCCAAACCTATTCAGGGTGACAACTGACCAGGAATACATAGTTTCTGATTTATATGATGTGGGTGGTCGTGTGGTTTATTCACCTAGGTTCAGAAGGGATCTCTCCAATTTTGAATTCTGGGAATTTGATGCTTTATTTTCCCTATCATACTCCCAATTCCTCCCATGCTGAGGTTCAGACAAAATGCTGTGGAAACCAGCTGCTTCGGATACCTTCTGAGTATCATCTTTTTATGAAGAACTTCGACCAAGCACTCTGACTGTAGCCATTGCCAGCAGAGCCTGGCACACCCCAGCTGAAATCTCTGCTGACGAATTTATCTTTGCCTCTGCTATCAGATACATATGGTCCGCTGATCAAATGTTCGACTGAAACAGGACAGGCTAGCAGTGGAGCTAGATCTATTCAATTTGTGATGAAACTGCGGTCGACTAGTTCTGGATCTGGAGACCCCCTATTTGGAAGGCCTCTTCAAACTTAGACCCCCTATTTGGAAGGTCTCTTCAATCTTCCCTAAGATCCAGTTTTTCAATTGGATTGTGTTACATGGGAAGCCCCTTGTGGTGGACCAAATTCCGGAAAGGGGTATACATTTACTGAACCAATGTATAACATGTAAAGAGAGTGCGAATTGATGAACCACTTACTCCATCCTTGCCGGACTACAGCGTGATCTGGTCCTCCATTCTACAGTTATTTGGGTTTGCATGGGACACCCCAGAGACAATCCAGCAACTGGTTGCAATCTCTTTCTTATTCCCTCTTCCGAAGCTGGATTTGCTCTTATAGTGAGCTTCCATCTTGACCGACCCTAGTATGGACTGTATGTTGGAGCGAAACAGGCGAATCTTTGATGGTTCGGAGTCCCAAGTTCAGACCATAAAAGACAGAAGCCATATAAAAGGAATTCAAGGGCTACATAACCTTGGATTTCTGACAAAACTGGTACCCCATTGCAAGATGCAGTCCAATGTCTATTACAAGATCCTCTCAGTGGTTCACTCCTGAACCAGGCATTGTGCCAAATAAACTAACAGATGCTTCTACGGTGACCCAGGAAGGGCTGGTATTGGCGCATCTTTGGACAAGTACAACAGCCACGTTACTTCCTACTTGAAAGCAAATAGGATGGCAACATTGACCAACACAAAGGCACTAGCTCTCCTTGACTTAAACCGTTTGACCAGTCCTGGAGCTCCTCACCAATAACTGAAGGAGACTCCAAGAACGTCATAAACTGGGCTCCGAGATCATTTGTCTGTCCATGGACATTGGAACAATTTTTTTTTATTTTAGTATATAGCTGCAATTTTCATTCCAACACACTTGGCATGGTGCCAACACGGTAGGAGACACCCTTGCCAAACTTGGCATGGGGCCAACACGGTATAACTGGGTAAGAAATGTACACAAGATAGGAAGCCAGGTTCACCCCCTAAGGGGTGGACTGGAACAATACAGTCAGTGTATCATATACAAAAAAGCTTATAAGACCGCCAAAGTAAAAGATATACATGAAGCTTTCAAAAAAGAAAAACATGAGGAGGCCTAGAGAGCCCAGATGACGTGCTATGGAAGCGAGCTGAGCCCAAGGTCTTGTGCACAAAAGGGCATCCAACCCAATTTTTGTCATTACTCTTTCTCAATCCTGGAGGGGTGGGCATTTTTGTCTTTCAGTGACATTTTTGAGCCCATTTGTGGGTTGGTAACTATATAAGAAGCTTGTTTGTAATTTCTCATGATAGTAATATAAAGGAAAACCTTCTCTCCAAAAAAAAGTAGCTGTATTCTGTAATATGTGTTATGCTATACATTGTAACTTATGTCTCTGAAAACCTTACCATTGCGATGAGAATGGATAACAGTTAGATATACTACTGATTGTGATCTGGGATTGCATCATTTGTGTCATTAACCTCCATAGCTATTGTTGCATTTTGGTTGGATGTCTGTGTACTATTGCAGAATGGTTTTTAACGCCATTGACTTCAAGTTGACTGATATCATGCATTCATTGCAGCCAATTGGGAATATTACTGAAAGATTCAATGCGCTATGTCTCAAAGACAGCGGTGTGCTATATGAAGACCCTTACATTCAGGTTTGTTCCTTATTGAACTTGCCAAGCACTCATCTTTTTAATATAGATGAATGATGACATGGGTCTGTAGAGAGTTTAATGATCAACAAGGAAAAAAGGATGATTCTTTAGAAAGTTTCACATGTCTCACTAATCAGAATTTTAATAACAAAGCCCATTTTGTCCAAACTTGGTTAGCTGTGCGGGGGAATCCAATGCCATAAACTTCTCATGACTCATAATACTGTTATAACCGTGACAACTTCAATCGCAGATTGGTATCAAGGCAGAGTGGCATGCCCATCATGGTCGTTTCGTTCTCTTCTTGGGAAACAAAAACACATCCCCTCTAGCATCAGTTCAAGCTGTGCTATTGCCTCCTTCCCATTTGAAAATGGAGCTCTCTTTGGTACCCGAGATAATTCCTCCAAGAGCTCAGGTTGGTGTGGCTATGGCTATTGCACTCGAACTTTCCTTTCTCATTGGCTTGAAACCAGTTTGTAGATGCCAACTGTATCTCATCCGTACTCTTTCCTTAATTAGGTACAATGCCCTCTTGAACTGGTAAATCTTCGAGCGAGTAGAGAAGTAGCTGTTCTTGACCTTTCTTATAAATTCAGTACAGCAATGGTAAGTCACCTGTATGAAATTGCTATTTGTTCATCTCTGAAATTGAGTGGAGAAGGTGATTAACTTTGTAATTTTTTTCTTAATTAGGTCAATGTGAAGTTACGGCTTCCAGCGGTCTTGAATAAATTTCTGCAGCCTATATCAGTGACTGCTGAAGAGTTTTTCCCACAGTGGAGATCACTTTCAGGACCACCTTTGAAGCTCCAAGAAGTGGTACCGTCTTTCCTCTTTTGCACGATCATATTGGTCTTGACCATGATTGTATAGCTCTCCTGTGGCATACCAAGAGTTCTTTTCAAATTAATGCATGAAAGAATGTGATTTAGGAGACATATTGACATTCTTATTTTAGAGATGGGTATGATTCACGAACTTAAAAAATCCTTCTTTTAGTTAAATCATGGGCACAAGTTCTGAGGAATTATGGACGTATGCTGGGCACTTACAGGTTACTATTGCTTTTGTATCGATTTTTTTTGAGAATAGTAGGGGTCGCGCAAACGCGTACCCTTCTATCACAAATTATGACGTGCATTCTCCCACTTGGCGAGATGCTCTAAGCGCAATGAGGACAGCCACCCTAGGGCATTGGCCTTTCTGATCACCGATTGCTTGTGTATAGATTTTGTTTGTATAATTGTGTAATTGCTCTTAAAAAAAACAGAAGAGAGAATGAATGTATTGCACTGTGCAATGGCTAAATCCATAGAGAATTCGACTCAACCCATCTATTGTGCTGAGCGCAGGTTAGAGGTGTAAAACCCATGTCTCTACCCGATATGGTGAGCTTATTCAACAGCTTACATTTGGCCGTTTCTCCTGGATTGGTGGGTTACTTTTCTCCACTTTGCTGGATTGCTCTACTCTGATTCAAGTTCTAGAAAGTCTGATGTCCGAACCCCTCTTTCAGGACCCGAACACAAACAATTTGGTGGCCAGCACTACCTTTTTCTCAGAAACTACTCGAGCAATGCTTTGTTTGGTAAGCCTTTGAGACATTTACCCATGTGCTTCACAGCTGTTCCAGCATATCGTTATTTGTTGACTTCCTTTAATTTGTTGAGTCCCAACCTCATAACATTTTATTTGAATTTACAGATAAGAGTTGAGACAGATCCTTCAGATCGGACACAGCTCCGGATGACAATCGCGTCGGGGGATCCAACATTAACATTTGAGTAAGTTTTCTATCACTTCTCTTTTTCCTTGGAATGATTATTGGAGTTGAAACGAAGAGCTCGATGCTACAAGCTTATGTGGCGAAAATTATCACAAAAAGCAAAATTGAGGGGTTTTGCTTTCACTAGCTTTGAGAGAGTTCCTTAATTCTTCTGTTACTTTGTGCCAGGTTGAAGGAGTTCATCAAAGAACACTTGGTCAGCATCCCGGTTGCCTCTGGCCCACCTCTACCAGCACAACCACCATCACAGCCAGCAGTTTCAAATGCTTCATTCACAGACCCTGGGGCAATTCTTGCTGGCTTGCTTTGAGGAGAGATGGTGTGTAATTTGGTGTGCGCGTTGTTTTTTAAGATTGTACCAATCATATCCCAGACGCCTATAGGCATCTCTCTCAGTAGAGGTATTATACTTTGAGGGATTGCATAGGAGAAGGGGATGGGTACGATGCAAGGGCTCTCGGGATAAAGGTGAGCTCCACGGAATGAGTTTAGTATTTTGAGTGGTTTTTGGCGGGGCTTCTAGATTCTTTCAGGCATGCTTTCACGTGTCCTGGCGAGGGTGTCGTGTAGGTATTTGATCTTTTCATTTCTTTTTCCTTTTTTGTTCATCTTTTTTACTTTGTTTCTTTTTGGGGGTCAGTCATCTCCTCTGTAATCTGAAGTTTGGGAATGGAGTGGCCATTGTGTGATTCACAACCATTGTAATAGTTTTCCATCCTATCAGTCTCATATTTTTTTCAATAAAAGCAAAAACTAGAATGAGTTTTACTTTGTCATTGCAAGCATCGAAATGCCAATGCAGACAGATCCGGTTCCTGGATTTATTGCTTTTGATCTTGAAATATCTGTTATATTAGCCCGTATATATATTGCTCCTTTGTTCATACTTGTCCTCTCTAATATCTGCTTGGTGTTCAAGCTTTGGGACAGCATAATTAAGCTCAGGTTTTGTAGTATGTAGTATGACTCCGGGTTTGATAAATTGGCAAAAGTGATGAGGTTTAGATAATCCTTTGGGAAGGGGCTGGCCGGAATCTGTTTTTCTAGCAAGTGGAATGCACGGTTTTGGTTCTCGATCTCTTTAACCATGTCTTCCTTTAGGGCCAAGGTGGGCCTGGCCCAGCCCAGCCCAGCTTGTTGCGAGAAAAATGGACGATCCCTAGTAGTCTTGATGTGGAAACTGATATAGAGTATTTTTGAGTTTCAAATCATGTTTCTTAATTGTCTTAGAGATGAATAAAGATGGTTTTGGAGTTTTGGAGCTAGCAACTGCCGGTATTTGACTGTAGAATAAATGTACAAGCTGGTCCTATGAGACCATCAAATATTTTTTAATGGGAAAAGTTTATATAAGTTTTTTATTTTTTTTGGGTATTTCAGTGGGGAAGACAGCCCTGCCCGTTTTATTAAGCAGATTAGGAGTTAGCTTTATAAAAGTATTAGTGGGAGTGGTGGGAATGGAAAGCCTTACCTGTTTTTTTTTTTTCCAGTAAATTAGGAGTTGGCTTTTTGAAGGTAATAGTGTATATTAGTGGTTGGAATGAAAACCACAACGTGGTGGTGATTAGGGTGTGGGGTGTTACTATTATGACCTCAGCACCTGTTTATATAAGGGTACATTAATTTAAACCTCTTTTACTGTGTAGAAATACATGTTATCTTTTTTAAAGTAATAGTGTGTATTAGTATTGGAATGAAAACCACAACGAAGTGATTAGGGTGTGGGTTGCTATTACTATGACTTCAACCCTGGTTTATATAAGGTCACATTAATTTAAAGTTTTTTTATTGTGTAGAAATACATTGTCATTTTTTTTACGTGACAAATCTATACTATCAAACTAAATCAAACATTGTCAAACACCAAAAACCCTGTTTTGATAAATAATATTTTTCACCTTATAAAAGCTGCACCTTGCTGATTTGTGCTTTCAATGGCTGAAATATGGTTTCTGGTGTTAGAGACTAGAAAACCATTGGAAAATTATTTCTATAGAACTCTTGTCTCAAGTTTTATGTCATTGGCCAAGACTAGGAAATTGTGAATTGACCTTGTGTCGAATACTACACAAAAGTCGGTTCGGCCTATGATGGAGCAAGGCCAAAAATTAAGTGGTGAAGCTGTATTGAAGCCACGGTAAAGAACCACCAACGATTATTATTTATTACAGAAATCAGCATAAACATCCCATTATGTTTTGGATATTAAAAAAATTCACAGTTTTTTAAAATTACACATTCATGTTCCCTTTTCACTTTTTTTAATCCCCCCCACCCCACTCCACCCCACCCCCCGAAGATGCACTCAAATGAGAACTTGGAATTCCGACTTCCAAACAGCTTTTTTTTGGGTGCAGTTTAGAACTCCTAAATTCCGATCCATTTTGTGGAGAGGTTCGGAATTTAGAGTTGTGAACTGTATCTTTTTTTTTGTTAAAGTTGCATTTAGAATATCAAGTTATGAACTTTTTTTTGTTTTCTAATTATGGTTCGGAACTTAAAAATTTTAACAAATAACTCTCAGTTCGGAAATGCAAAGCTAAAATTTTAACAAATAACTCTCAGTTCGGAAATGCAAAGCTAAAATTTTAACAATTAACTCTCAGTTCGGAAATGCAAAGCTATAAACTAAGGCACTTATGTTTCGTTATTAAAGACCGATTCAGAAGTTCCTATGTAGCCTCACCAAAATTAAATGTTTTTGAAAAGATGGCATATAGGGCACCCCTGTGGGGGTCCACTTCTAAATTAGTCTCTCAAATAAAATACTTTGTTAGATCATAAATTCGATCGCTTATGAGGGCTTTGCAACGTCAAAGCACAATACATACACTCATTGATGTAAGCAATGTTTCCATTGGCTTTTAAGCTCTTGCAGGTCCACAGTATTTACTAGCTCAGCGTGGGAAAATGTATTTTCTTTTTCTATTAAAGAAGTTCACAACCGACTTTGAAACATCATGCGGTTATTTAAAAAATGAAATGTTTTAAATTTTTTATCTAAATAAGAATGTCATTTGAGGTTCTAAGTTCCTAGTGCCTTACCTAGGGAGCACAGTATAGCTCCCGCTTTCAAAAATGTTTATTTTTGTGAGGCTCCAGGATTAACAGAAATAATTAACAAGGTGAAAGATTAGCTTTTAGTAGCTTAGTTAGTAGGTACGTGTTTGTATTTAGTAATTTTAACCCGAACAAATTCCATCAATTCATTAATTGAGTTAGTGTGTTTAATTATTTGAAATTGGTAATAGGTGCCAACTTCAAATAATTAGGGTAAGATTTGGTTGATGATGATGATAATAGCAAGTGGCCCTCGTTTTGTATCTACATTACTCCTTGTTAGGGGTGACAATGGGGCAGACTTGGACCCAAACTCAGACCTGAAAAAAAAATTATGGAATCTAGACATGGACCCAACCCAAAAATAAATAAAAAATAATTAAATGTAATGTTAAATGTATATATGTATTATTTAAATATTATAACTAAAAATATATAATTATATTTATTTTAAATATTAATTTAATATTATATGTTAAATATTATTTAAATAATAATACCATTCTGGTAGGGTCCACCTGGACCCAAATAGTGTTCATTGGACCCAGACCTGACCCGTCAGGTCCAATTTTTGGACCCATATTTGGATATGGGTCAGCCAGGGTCCATTGCCACCCCTACTCCTTGTGGCAACTATTATGTAGGTTTGGGCTCATATAAAAAAGCAGCTCTGCTTGTGAGAATTTTGCGTCTATTATGAAGTTTAGCTTATGAAGAACAAGCCACCAGTTTATAAAAATGTACAAAATCCTCAATTCCTATCTAACCATTATGGTTACATTTCTGAGAAGCGTGCTTCAGGACATGGGCATCAACAAGATTCCAAACACTACGCACAACCCTACCTGAAAGAGCCAAATATGCTTGTCTCGCTGCAACCTGCCGAGCATCCAAAATTTTTGGATCATCAAGAAGCTCACTTAGAGCCTTTATCAGTTCATCTATTCCAGATACCTGACAAATGTGCATGTGAGATATATTCTGATACCTAAGACAATTAAACAAACCTTGCCTGCTTTTTTAATTGTGCATATTTTAAAGAGAAACGTACAACTCAACCTGCTGAATTGATAGATGTGAAGCTTGCTTCATTTTCCTAACCATTTCAGAGAAGTGCCCAATATAAGGACCTGAATGTTGATAAAAATAAGTGCAGATTTGAGCTTTGGATAACACATTATTTTGTTGTCCAATACTATCAAACTTCAAAATATATTTTGCAAGAGATTACCTGTCAAAACAGCACAACCAGCAGCAGCAGCTTCGGAAACATTATGACCACATAAACCTCGTAGGAAAGAGCCTCCAATCACAGCTATAGGGGTCAGCCTGTATAAGTCTCTTAATTCACCTGTCAAAAGAAGGGCCCCACATTCAACGAACTTAGAAAGATCTATAGTGACAATGAATACTGACATCTTCAGCTGTGTGTGTGTGTGGAGGGGGCGGGGAGCGATAGCTTGTAACTATAGTGATGCACCAACCCAAAGTATCAACAATATAAAAATTTGTGCTGGAGCAGATATTTGCACTCTGAGACCTCAGTTTAGCAGTCATCCCTTCCTTTAGAACAGCCTGCACAAACATGAGGAGATACATTCTGAATCAATGAAATGCTTTGCTATTTGAAGTTTGAACTAATTAACTCCACATATGTATTTTCATTTGCCAGATACCTATCATTTGTCTAGAACATTATGGAACACTCAGATTCTAAAATAAGCCACAAACCCATCATAAGAAATTGGATGTAGGCACAGTTTTACCCTAAACGATATTTATGTGATAGCAAACATGTAGAAGTATACATCTTCAGTAAAAGCAATCATGTGGCATATGAAGCTATAAATATAACGTGTACAACAGCCAAAATATGGAAGAACTACAAACAAATCACCACCAGTATAAGTACAATCTCACTGTGTCAGTTCATTAACATCAATGAAAAAAGGAACGTCTTGCAGCTGTTGCTGTTAAACAAATAGTTTGTATATTGTCCAGTATCGCCTGCTTCTATTTAGCCAAAAATAAAATAACATATTGTGTTTCTTGGACTCTAACAAAATAATGGTAAAGGCTAAGCACTAAAAAAACAAGAATACATGTACAATATAATGCTCCCAAGGAAAAGAACAAAACATACTTGAGCAATATGACGTCCTTGTTCAGGATAGCGTGGCACAATAATCGTAAGCAGCTGAGGGTACAACTTCATGAGCTCTTTGTGGACACAAAACATCACTGCAATTCAATATTATGCTTTAGTTTAGTTGGAATCCATGAAACATTAAGGACTGTGCTGAGATTCAGTAAGTGATCAATGTTTTGACCAATCAAAGGCATGAAGTAGCCTTTAACTTTATGGTGTAAAAAGCAGAAGTTCAAAGTTCTCATGTCTTGTCATCACCTTGTGCAAATGTTGTCCAGATAGAACCGGACAAGGAAACAACTTGCTTATAAATTGCATTGGAATATTATCTAACGAAGAAAAGATGGAAGGGTTGTTGACATTTCATTTATGGGTTATGTTAAGATACTCAAACATTTGAGTATTTCCATAAAGTACTCAACATTTTTGGACACTTGATACCCTTATCCCACCATGTAGTAACTTTCTTGTCTAGGGGTATTTTTGGTAATTAATTAGGGATAAAGTAGAAATTCTCTATAGAAAGAGAAGCATTTATTAACTATAGTCTATCGGAATTGGAGTCTAATAGAGCCCCTGGACCGGACAGTTTCCCACTGGCTCCTTTCAAGATCTTCTGGGAATCTTTTCGAGCTTTCTCAACTTCTTCGAAGAATTTCATGATCCATCGAGCTATGAATGCAACATTCATAACTCTCATACCCACAATCCAAGGTGCTAATCAGCTTAAATAGTTCAAAATTTAGCCCTACTTGGCAAATAGTGTTGGTGCCTACTCACTCTCAGGAACCAACTTTGGACCGATATCCTCAAAACCAAGTACCGTCTTCACGATTCTCCTTGGCTACCTGAATTTAGAGCCAATAACAGGTCTTCAGGTATTTGGAGGTCTATTTGCTCTACTTTTTAATTCTTTAAACCCCGAATCAGGTTTCATCCCAGAATAGGGAATCGAATCCTCTTTTGGCATGACCTTTGGTTGGGCCACACCCCTCTTAGGGACAAACACCCTGATCTCTATCGTCTTGCTAGAGATCAAGGGCCCACAGTAGCCCAAGAAATGCTACTGACTGGAACCTCTCGCTCTTGGAACCCAGTTTTCAGGAGAAGTCTAAATGACCAAGAACTCTCTAGCTTTGCCTCTCTTTCGACAGATTTACAAGCCTGTTTCCTAGCCCCTGCGGGTATAGATCGCATCATTTAAAGTCCTGCCCCAGGAGGCTCTTTCACGGTGTCATCTTTTTACCGCTCTCTGTTGCTACCTCCCACTCTCCCCCATGCACCAACTTCTATTGTGGCCCAGGCCCGGGATTCCTTAGCTTCCCCAAAAGTCAAGGTGTTTACGTGGTTAGCCCACTCTAAGAGAGTACTGACTGTTGATCAGCTGCAAAGACATGGCATTCAGATTCTCAATCGCTGCGTCTTGTGCTTAGTGGAAGAGGAAACAAATAACCACCTCTTCTTGCATTGTTCCTACGCATACAACCTTTGGGGTGCAGTCCTCAAATTGTTCAAGGTGGAATGGGTACTACCTGCTGAAGTGACTTCGATTCACTCTTCAATTAAGTCTTTTCCTTGGGCCAAATCAGGGATTATGCTCTGGAAATCAGTGGTGGCCGCAGCCTTGTGGTCCTTATGGATCAAGCGAAACCACAAGATTTTCAGGGGGAAATACTCCCCTTGGTCCAAAATTTTCAACAAGCTCAAATCTTCCATCATCTTCTGGGCCACAAATCATCCTCGATTCAAAGGAATCCCGACATCGGCCTTTCACCAAGATTGGAGCAATGTCCTTGGTCCTCATTGCTCACGTCTCTCCAGGTCTCCTCGCTGGAAACCACCACCATACGGGATGCTAAAACTCAATTTCGATGGATGCTCCTCCATCCTTAGAGACCATTTCGGCTCTATTGTGGCTTCAGTTTCCAAACACATTGGCCATAAAGATTCGATGGAGGCTGAAGTGGAAGCTCTCCTAGTAGGCTTACTACTCATCCAACATCTCAACTTGCCCTCTCTCATTGTAGAGGGTGACTCCAGGAACACCACCACCTTGGCACAAAATCCTGCCTCTCCCCCCCACCCTCCCCCCCCCCCCTTCCCCCTCCCTCCCCTAGTTTTTGGCTCCATCAGCTGATCAGATTCATTACCTCTGCAGGAATACATTCGCCATGTGGACGCATACTTGGGGGGAAGGAAACCTTGAAGCTGATTCCCTTGCAAAGCAGCAACGGGGATGGATGGACTCTAGGAGCTTTTCCTTATTTTGGTTATTTTCTCTTTTATGCTTTTTTTGTATGAAGGATCGGCTTCTTTTCTTAGGTTGCTGCCCTTTTAACAATAACTTTTCAAATGAGGCTTTCGTCCTTTTTCTTTTTTCTCCTTTCTTGAGCACCTTTTTTGTGGTAAGCCAAGGTTTTGTACTCTCTTTTCTTAATTAAAGGTTAACATTATCAGAAAAAAAAAAACTATAGTGGAGGATGACATCATCCACATGAGGTATGATATTATCCAAATGGAGCAATGATTGCTTTTTAACCACTAGTTTTTTATAGAAATATCTATCCTACCGCTCTTAATGATAAGAAATGCCCTTATTCATGACATTACCCAAATGGAGCAATGATTGCTTCTTAACTACTAATTTCTTATAGAAATATCTATCCTGCCCCTCCTAATGACGAGAAATGCCCTTACTCAAAAAAACTTTTATTACAAAACAAGGGGCAATGAGTGTCCAAAAATGTTAAGAACATTAAGGAAATACTCATATATGAGTACCCTAACTAAGAACTAAAAATTAGATTCTACAACAAAAATTAATATGCAAAAAAGCTCCCAAGTATTGAATCTCTTTATGTAACAGAAAACTCCCAAAGTTTGAAAAGCCTACAGAAGGCTACAGAAATATCAGATCATAAACTGGAATCCTTGGACACTTGTAATCAATTCAACCTATTTTATCCAAAATGGAAAAACTTCCAGCTATTCTGATTTGGGTTAGAGATATCAAATGGGAACAGCTAAGGAACAACAGCATCCAATCAGCCTGATGAGCTGAACAGAATCTGCTGTGAACGTAACAACTCTTTAAGCCACAACCACAAGAGAAAAATAAGAGCTTCTACCAAACCAAAGGTTCACCCAGAAAATAAAATTCAATTAAAAAACAAAAATAAAAGAGTCGTATTTAACAAGTGAACAAGACATGGTTTCTTTCATTTCAAAGCACAACCCAAAGAATGAAAGAGATAAAAATAACATACTTCTTTAGAAACACACTAACGATACAATGTCATGACAATACTCATATAAAGGAATAATGAAACAGGAAAAACAATGTTGCTGACCTTGTTCTTCATCTTCATGTGTAGAAGCAGCCATCCAAACCTTCCTAAGAGAGAGTTGTGATTGCAAATCTCTTGTCTTCTCAGGTATTTGTTCCAATGCATCAAGATGACCAACTTCTGCCAAAAGCAATAAACAAAATGTAAAGACGGATAATTTTGTCATACACTGACACCGGTACTCAATTATGGTAGCTCCAACCTGCCTAAAAGTGTAGTATTGGCCAAAAGAATCATTTCCTCTAATTGTCAAGCTGCTCACTAAAAGCAAGGTACAAAAAGGTCAAACCATGAGGTCATGAGGGAGCATGGATTTAAGAAAGAGGGGGGGGGGGGAAGTCAGTCAAGACATAACAGTAGGAAGAAGCCATCATGAAGGGGGACAAGAGCTTCATGCGTACCATCAAAGGCACAACTACGTAGTTTAATACTCAACCCTATATTTGAAAACATTTAATCAATTTACAGAAAGGCCACTTCACATAAACCAATGCTGCTTATAGATAATGATCCTTCCATTTCCAAGTTTGGGAATTTTTTAGTCATTCAGGGAACTCCAGCTTGTAGACATATTACATCAAAAACATACAAGAATCTGTCCAGATGTGTATGTGGATTCATGTAATAATAAACAATTGGGAAATTTTGACATGAGCTTACCATATTTCAAGTCACCAGAAAAATTAACGATAAATGGAGGCGCGCCGAGTAACTGAAATCGAATTGCTTGCTGGGTGCTCTGCTACAAAAGAAAATCAGAAAAAGTGCAGAAAATGAACTAAACAGATGATAATGAGAATACTTACCGTTGGCAAAATCAAGGAAAACTTTGATAGCAATAATGAAATGAGGGATGAGGCGATAGGGCTGGACCAGAGTTGGAAAGATTTTTCGGACATTCTTGCATTTAATAATGCCAATGGAATCTGAATAAAATAAGGAAATGTGAAACATTCTGCAAACCAGTGAGAAAATATATACGCGTCAACAGAAGGTATTTGAAGGGCATTAAATCCCATTAATTATTACCAAGATGTATTCATATCAATGAAGCAACTGCAAAGCATGTAACAAACACGCAAAGATTTTATTTTTATGCAATGATTTTATCAACAATAAATACAAAATCATGGTCATCAAGAATATGTTACTTAGACAATTAGTCATTGCTGAAAGTTTCAAATACCTTGGTAAAGCCAACAGCAAGAGACAATGACTGGATACAAATTATCAAAGATAAGCAATAGATGTCCCTTGACACACCCCCAACTCAATCAAATATTTCCTCATAGAAAATGATATAATAATCTCTTATTGATTCTAGGAGTAGGATAGCTGTGCACCAACCCCATGAAAAAGGAAAAAACCCACAAGACATACGATAAAACTTGATGTTTTTGGTAAGATATTCGCAAGTTATTGTGACTAAACCCACAATCTCATCAATGGGTTACCCTTCCAAACAATAAGATTATATGCCAAATCTTTGTTGTTCTACCCTGATGAACAAGTGCATACAGCCATTGCAGAAAAGATTGAAGGATTAATATTGCTAGAACTCATAGTAACTAGACTTCAGAAACAACTATAAGAATTATATTAGAACATGCTTAATATTATCTAATATAAACATGTATAAAGCCACTATTTGGTATTTTATCATTTGTTTAAGTGCATTATTGTTGATCCCTATTATGGGAACATATATGTATCAAAAAGAGATCCAATGAATGTACCAAGAACTAATGTACCAAGAACTTCTTTCTTCCTACTCAAAAAACCTTGATATGGTTTCAGAGCCACAGTTGAAAATGAAGCTCTAAACAGAGGGACCAACAAGGCACTCTTCAATCTGTCTCACCTATCATCTACCAAGATTGAAATGTCTCTCCTCTATTCATTGCTACAACATTGTGAACCAGATTTGCAAGATCGGAAACCTCTCCAAGCAAGAAGAAAATCCAGCATAATATACACATCCAAGATTAATCATCAAAAAGTGTGAAAATCCTCACTTTCAAGGTCTTTCTCACTCTAGAAAGTTTTCTTCCCTATTGGAACCCTCGAAAAACCTTTTTCTTTCCATTTGACCTTCTCTTTATTCACTTTTTTCTTCCTAAAACCTAGACCAAAATATTGTCAATACTTACAAAAACACTTGCACCCAAAAAAAGATGCCCATCTTCTTCCATCTTCTATGGCATCATCAAATGTGGCAACTCTCTTGTCCATAAAATTAGATCATTCAAAGTATCTTTTATGGAAAAACAGTTTCTACGAGTCATGCGCAGCAAAAATATGTTTGCATTTATTGATGGTTCAAAGCCTTGTCCTCCCAAATAGGTCTTAGAAAAATCGACAACAGATCAAATGCAAGAAACATCATCCAGAATATGAGACATGGAAAAACCAAGTTCAACTTGTGGTTGTTTGGACACTTGCTTCCATATCCCCGGAACTAGTAGATGTCACTGATCCCAACTACCCAAGACATCTGGGTTGCTCTACAAAAACTATTTGCTGAAAAATCAAAGGCCAGAGAAATGCAACTCCGCATGGAATTACAAAACTGTAAGCATAGGTCTTCATCCATTTTTGAGTACTTTCAACACCTTAAGGTGATATATGATGATCTTGTTACTATACAGAAAACCGTATCTACATCTACTTTCAATGCTTTAAGGCGATATGCGATGATCTTGCTACTACACAGAAAACTGTATGCAATGAAGATAAAGTCATCATCATCATCATCATCTGAGCATTATCCCAACTATTTGGGATCGGCTACATGAATCTCGTTCTGCCATTTTGCTCTATTAAAGGTCATACCCTCAGTTAAACCAAAAGTCCCCATATCTCTTCTCACTACTTCCATCCATGTCCTTTTAGGTTTTCCCCATACCCTTTCAAAGCCTTCCACTTGAACCAATTCGTACTTCCTAACCGGTGACAATACAAAATGATCGTCACCTCACTTATTTCGCGACCTTCTCATCCTTTCTTTGAGGATTTACGCCCTATCTTACTCAATTAGAAGAGCATGTTTGTCAATACCCAAAAATCAGAAAACAATCTACAACCTCTTGCATCTGCCCTTTACTGTAAGAGCCCCAAGAGCACCCTTCTCATGGAGTCGACGATAAAGCACACACAATTGGCGTGAAGTGGACGCTATAGGCAAGGAAGAGGTAGATGGCTGCTACATCAATGGACTCCACCAAAACCCAACTCCAATATAATGTGATTGTTCATGACCACTGACTCTGGTGCAACTGGTCATGTTGCCAAAGACATCCTCCTGCCAAAAATCTAGTTCCCAACAGAGATATGTGCTCCATCAAAACTGGTTATGGGTCATCTCTATCAGTATCACATATTTGTACAACCCTAATATCAACTGCATTTGGAAATTTTCAAGTACCGAATGTTGTTGTGATCCTCAAAATCAAAAGGAATTTATTATCTGTAAATGAACTTATGTCTTATCTTAAATGCAAATTTGGATTCTTTCCAAACATTTTTTTTTTTATGGACCAAGAGACAGGGAAGCTAATTGCTAAAGGAGTGCAGAAAAATGGATGTTAAGTTTTGCAAGACGATCATGTTTTTGCTCATAGAAAAAATACAGTGGCCACCCAGCGTGATCTAGCTACTAAGTCTTCCATGGACTTTTGGCATCTGCGACTTAGGGCATCCTTTTTGAAGACCCTACAAGATTTGGGAATGATCACTTGATTTCATTTACTACTACTCAGTTTACTTCACTGTCCACTAGTTGTCAATTGGGAACACATGCACAACTCCCATTTTCTTGGGATAACCGTGAAGGAATTTTTTGACTTGATACATTTTGATGTTTGGGAACCTGCACCTGTGGATGCCACGAATAGATACTGTTATTATGTTTCTTTTATTGATCAACTCATTGATATACTTGGTTCTTTCTTATTAGACACAAATCTGAAGTTTTGGGATGTTCTAACATTTATTTCATGCCAAGGTTAGAATTACTATGGGAAACACTGTTAAGTTTTGAGATCTGACCATAGGGGAGTATATACATCACATATACATCAAATGATATTCAAAATTTCCTAAATAGTAATGGAATTCAACATCAATTTTAATGCACATATACTAAAAAAAATGGGGTTGCTGAGCGAAAAGAATCGACACATTGTAGAGATGCTTTGCCTATGATGCTTGATTCTCATACCCCTTCTTTCCTATGGGGAGAGGCTTTCTTAACAACAGTCTCTCTTGTTAATTGACTCCCTTCATCAGTACTTTCAGGAAGCACTCCTTACTATAAACTTTATGGAATCAATGCTGACTACTCTAGACTGCATGTTTTTGGTTGCCATGTTTTGTGCATATTGATTCTTCCCTTCGCAATAAACTTCAGCCTAAAGCATATCAAGGAGTTTGCATTGGCTACAGTCCTAGGCTTACAGATGCTACTTTCCCTCAACACAAAGAGCGATTACTTCATGCCACGTCACATTTGATGATGTACTTACCCAAAAAAAAAATGTCACATTTGATGAAGCTAATCCATACCATCTTCATCCCATACCGATATGGATTACTCCGTTTCACATGATTTGCTTCAAAATTTAGAGGAATAGATGCAAGGGGGAGAATGTGGAAAGACAAGTTCACCGTTGCCTCTTGGACCTCTTCTCATTGCAAGGATTTATGCTTCACAAGCACAGCCCAATGAAGCATATGCATAGCCATTGGAGAAATGTGGTTTTGATGTCTCACTAGCTTCTCCCCATGTAGGCCATACATCACCAAGAAAATTTCCAAGCTTAGCTCCTCCTATTCGATTTACATATGAAAGGAGACTTGTGCAAGGGAGTCAAGATGTTAGAAGATATCCTATCTCAAATAACATTGTCTCATCTCCTCACATCTCACCAGCATCTTCCTCACCTATCTATTTGAGGAGATCAGGCAATGGACATGGACCCGACACGGGTCGGGTATGGGTCTAGCATTTGGACCCGGCTGATTGGGTCTGGGTCCAAAACTTGGACCCGAATACTATACAGGTCTGGGACCAAGTCCAGCTGGACCCGACCCGTACCCGGCTTGTACCGATAAACTGAAGAGAAAAAATACTTTATTTTAAGCCCTATTCATTTGGGTATATTAAGGATCGTATATAATTAGAACTAGTAGTCATCTTTAGCTATTAAATGACAAATCACACGGCTTGAAATCTAATAGTGCGTGATTGTGACCTTGTTGCCAATAATATAGATATATGATGGTAAAAAAGGGGCAAAAAAGAAGAAGAAAAGAAGCGCATAGTGAGGGTGACAATGGGCCCAAGACCTGATGAGGTAGACCCCAGATCCGACGACTACAAGTATGGGTCCAATTTTTGGAGCCCAAGGTCGGGTCCAGGTCCAAAACTTGGACCCGAATCTATTTGGGTCTGAGTCCGGGTCCAGCCGGACCCGACCCGTTGCCACCGCAATGTTCAACACCCAAGAGATCAAGTGGTCGTATGAGTGAGCTTACAGGGTGCCATATGTGGTAAAGGATGGAAATGGTTTGAAGAAGCTGCACGAGAGGCTTTGATGAGTGGTTTGAAGAAGCTACACAAGAGGCTGCGAGAGGTGCTGGTGACTGAGCGAGAGGCTGCGCGAGAGGCTGAGAGCTTGGAGGCTGCGAGAGGTTGCCTCTACGAGAAGGTTTGTGAGGCTGCGAGAAGTTGCGCGAGAGGCTAAAGGCTGCGAGAAGTTGCGCGAGAGGCTAGAGGCTCTTGCGCGAGAGGCTGCGAGAGGTGCTGGTGACTGAGCGAGAGGCTGCGCGAGAGGCTGAGAGCTTGGAGGCTGCGAGAGGTTGCCTCTACGAGAAGGTTTGTGAGGCTGCGAGAAGTTGCGCGAGAGGCTAGAGGCTCTTGCGCGAG